CATTCTATGTGCAAATCGTAAAATAAAATTAGATAGATCCACACCTTTGTCTCTCAATCATGTAGCAGGTCTGCCAAGCTTAAATGCTTTGTTAAAGCCTCCGCCACTAGCAATGACCCATACTCAGTGGGTGGAATTAATTTGTTAAGGAATGTTTTTACATATTACATAATTGAAATGTGTAAAGTGTAAAATTAGTTTAATGGGACCAGGTTTTTCTGGATCAAATGTGTTGCAGAACTGACAGGTTTAACTCTTTGGAAACCACAGGGCTGCTGTTAGAAATCACAGGGCCCCATACAGCCTACCTTACAGGGCCTCCCCCTCCCTCATTCACATAGGTTCTGTGAACGGTACAGCACAGGCAGCCTGTCTTATGCTTTGGGGACACAGCAGCCTTATGAACACAGCCTCAGATCCTAATTTGATAGATGTGTGGCAGCAGGTGTATGGCCCCTAGACGCAGACAGTGTGCATTCTGGGGCCACTCATCCACACCTACACACTTATCAGATTAGGACCTATGGCTGTGTTCATACAGCTGCTCCAGCAAACCACTCACCCTGTATGGGCCAGAGAACCCATGTGAATGAACGCTTAATTTGTTTAATTATTTTTTACAGTTTTTGTTTTGTTTTTTTAATTTTTACCATTTACAATTTTTTTAAAATAAATATTAAAAATTTAAAAAATATATTTTTTTTTCCAATTTTTAAAACGATATTTTTTTCAATTTGTTTTTTTTGTTTGTGCCAGTAGATTTGGAGGGGGAGGGGGGAATTTATGCTCAGAGGAGAAATTTGAGGGGTAGAAGATTTGTGCTAGGAGGGAGGATGGTGGTGATAAAGATTTGTGCTGGGTTTGTTTCAGCGGGGGAAGATTTGTACTGGAAGAGGGGGAGTTTTTGTTTGGGAAGAATTTTGGCTTGCAAAGGGAATATATACTTAGGGATAAGCAGGTAGATTAGTGCTCAATTTTGTTTTGGGGGGGGAGGGAGGGGATTTTTGCTGACACATAATGCTAATGCATTTTAGGGGGTGACATTTGGCATCTTTGCCCTGGGCGCTAGATGACCTTATCCCGGCACTGAAGGCCCCGTCCACCGCTATGGAAGTTTGAGGTCAGCACTCTGTGCAGGCCAGTCAAGTGCCTCCACCCCAAACTCACTCATTCATGTCTTTATGGACCTGGCTTTGTGCACTGGTGCGCAGTCATGTTGGAAAACCAAACTGTTCCCACAACGTTGGGAGCATGAAATTGTTCAAAATGTCTTGGTATGCTGAGGCCTTAAGAGTTCCCTTCGCTGGAACTAAGGGGCCCAACCCAACCCCTGAAAAGCAACCCGACACATAATCCCCCCTCCACCAAATTTTACACTTGGCACAATTCAGTCAGGCAAGTACCGTGTTCCTGGCAACCGCCAAACCCAGACATGTCCATCGGATTGCCTACAGAGAAGCGTGATTCGTCAGTCCAGAGAACACGTCTCCACTGCTCTAGAGTCCAGTGGCGGCGTGCTTTACAACACTACAACACTACATCCGATGCTTTGTATTGCACTAGGTGATATAAGGCTTTGATGCAGCTACACGGCTATGGAAACCCATTTCATGAAGCTCTCTATGCACTGTTGTGCTACTCTGAAGGCCACTTGAAGTTTGGAGGTCTTTAGCTATTGACTTTGCAAACAGTTGGCGACTTCTACGCACTGCGCGCTTCAGCATTCGCTGACCCATTTTACATGGCGTACCACTTCATGACCAAGTTGCTGTTGTCCCCAGTTGCTTCCACTTTGTTATAATACCACTACCAGTTGACCGTAGAATATTTAGTAGCAAGGAGATTTCACAGATGAACTTATTGCACAGGTGGAAACCTATCATGAAACCACGCTTGAATTCACTGAGCTCCTGAGAACGACCTATTCTTTTACAAATGTTTGTACAAGCAGTCTGCACGCCTGGGTGCTTGATCTTATACACCTATGGCTGTGGAGGTGATTGGAACACCCTGGTGTCCAAGCAACACCCTCTCTCAAAATCATCTACAACCTTTATCATACACATTAGAGCAGGAGCGATACAGAATGCTGAAAATCTGCCCATAAAACCTGCAAGAAACCTTTTGAACCTGGCCTATTTGTATATTGTTAATAATACTGTTGATGGGAATAATAATATTAGGAAAAATAGTTATAATCCTACACTCCAGTCAAATTGCATAAAAAGCCTAATGATGCAATTGCAAATGAAAATTCTTAGGATAACATTTCTTTGTTGTTTGAAAGATTTCTTTTGATTTTAACATTTGATTTGGAATGAATGCAGTTTACTGAAAGAAAACCTCATACATTGTTAGAAATGCGTCAGTTTAGGAAAAAGTCTCCATCCTTCTCTTTTGAATTTTCTTGATACTGCGGTTGAAAACAAACATCAAATCCACTCACTAATTATTAGAAATACAAACTTTCTTAGAACCTTCTTTTCCCAAGAATTTTTATTTGAAATTTAACCCATCTATGGCCGACTTAAGTCAACCTACTCTGTACTGAAAGTGCAAGATCTGCTTATCCACTATGGAAGTTTGAATCTGACTTGTTAAGCAGATGAGAAATTGCAGATATTTAGAAAGCAGAACCCATAAGATGTCCTGTGAAATCAGACTGTATTGGATTATGGTACATAGAACTCAGGTAGAATTTCTGACTACTACAAATATAGCACTTGCTGGACATCAGTCTGTGCGCTTGGTCTCTGAAATTTCTTTTTGATATTGTTTTTCAAATTGTTTTTGATATATCTGCTGTTGTTTACAGGGCTTTCAGCTATCTCCATCAATGCGTATATACATTAGGTCTTTCTTCAGTGTGTCTTGCAATCTTTTCTTTGTAACACAACTTAAAGTAGAACTATAGGCAAAACTTTTTTTTTTTTCATTTTGTATAGAGTAACAAAGGATTTTTTTGCAATCTGTGTCCCATTGGCAAGGTTTACCTTTACTTCCTGTCCCATAGTCAAAAGAGGAAGTGGGAGAAAATCTCTGCAAATTAAGGGAATTCCTTGGGGATCCCTAGGTCACCAGAACTAGTGTCCCCATTGTAAAATTTCTAATCTATTACTTTTCTGGGGAGAACCCAAAATTTGGGGTTTCTTTACTTTCCATTTTGATGATAATAGTATACAGGGCAAATGGAGGGGACACAGATAGCAATAAAAACAAGTGTTCTAATCCATCTCCACTCTGTCCAAAACTAAAAAGAAGTTTTGACTTTAATTATTTTTAAAACACTTTCTGTATTCTGTGAAGTCATCTTTAGCCACCACATTAATTATACTTATGAATAGCTTTTATAAGAATGTAAGATGACTACATCCATGGCCAAAAATTGAGAATAACACAAATATTAATTTTCACAAAGTCTGCAGCTTCAGTGTTTTTAGATCTTTTTTTCAGATGTTACTATGGTATACTGATGTATAATTACAAGCATTTCATAAGTGTCAAAGGCTTTTATTGACAATTACATTGTTTATACAGAGACAATATTTGCAGTGTTGACCCTTGTTAATAAATTTCTGGCCACACCCTGACTGATGGCAACCCATTCTTGCATAATCAATGCTTGGAGTTTGTCATAATTTGTGGGGGGGGGGGGTTTTGTTCACTTGCCTCTTGAGGATTTAGCACAAATTTTCAATGGGATTAAGGTCTGGGAATTTTCCTGGCCATGGACTCAAAATTGCAATTTTTTGTTCCCCAAGCCGCTTAGTTATCACTTTTGCATTATTGCAAGGTGCTCCATCATGCTGGAAAAGGCATTCGTCACCAAACTGTTCTTGGATGGTTGGCAGAAGTTGCTCTCAGAGGAAGTTTTTGTACCATTCTTTATTCATGGCTGTGTTCTTCCTGAGACACATAATTGGTCTCAGGATGCTTACTGTTGGCATGACAGCAGACTGATGGTAGCACTTTTTTTTTCCATGTAGCAGATACACTGCTACATGGCAGCACAGGTGCGCAAAATCATGTATATATACGTGATTTTGCATTTATGACGAACTTTGAATTTTTTTACATTTTTTTTTACTGGACAAGTCAAAAATATTGTTTTTTTTATCAAAATTGTCAGTCTTTTTTTTTTTAATAGCGCAAAAAAATAAAAACCGCACATTGGATCAAATACCACTGAACGAAAGCTCAATATGTGGGGGAAAAAGGACATAAATTTCATTTGAGTGCAGCATTGCAAGACTGTGCAATTGTCAGTTAAAGTAACACAGCGCCATAATGCAAAAAATGCCGTGGTCAGGAAGGGGGGTAAATCCTCTGGAGGGCAAGTGGTTAAAAACTCACAACAATACAATAGCACTGAGTAAAGTGGGCCCTTCTTGCTAACTGCAAAGAGCCCAATATACACATTACCTTGGCCCTACCAACGAACCTACCAATTAGACATGATTGGCTGCTCTGATGTGTGCGTTTAATGGATTATTCCTTTGCAGAAAGCAGGAGCGCTTGAAAGATATTAACACAAACAAAGACAGAACATTTAGTAATCCTTGTAGATAATATTTTGGTCATAACTGGTAACCAGTTTTCAAAAAATCTGGACAATTCAAATAATATTTTATAAGTTTCTTCCGTGAGAACATAATTTTGTAGACCATATGCATAGTAGAGCCTTTGGGCCTTATTTATGAACATGTTTGGTGGTAGAACTGATAAAAATTACCGTATTTTTTGCTCCATAAGACACACCTGACCATAAGAGCACCTAGGTTTTAGTGGAGAGAAACAAGAAAAAAAAATATTCTGAAGAGATGACCAGAGACTGCGGACATGGTATAGGAGATGACCAAAGACTGCGGACACAGTACAGGAGATGACCAGAGACTGCGGACATAATACAGGAGATTACCAGAGGCTGCGGACGTAGTACAGGAGATGACCAGAGACTGCGGACGTAGTACAGGAGATGACCAGAGACTGCGGCTTAGTACAGGAGATGACCAGAGACTGCGGACGTAGTACAGGAGATGACCAGAGAATGCGGACGTAGTACAGGGGATGACCAGAGCCTGCGGACACAGTACAGGGGATGACCAGAGACTGCGGACACAGTACAGGGGATGACCAGAGACTGCGGACACAGTACAGGGGATGACCAGAGACTGCGGACATAGTACAGGGGATGACCAGAGCTTGCGGACACAGTACAGGGGATGACCAGAGACTGCGGACGTAGTACAGGGGATGACCAGAGCCTGCGGACACAGTACAGGGAATGACCAGAGACTGTGGACATAGTACAGGGAATGACCAGAGACTGCGGACATAGTACAGGGAATGACCAGAGACTGCAGTACAGGGAATGACCAGAGACCGCGGACATAGTACAGGGAATGACCAGAGACCGCAGACAGTATAGGGGATGACCAGAGACTGCAGACAGTACAGGGGATGACCAAGAGACTGCAGACAGTACAGGGGATGACCAGAGACTGTGGACCTTTAGGGAGGGAGGGGGAGCGGGTGCCTGAATTTGGCAGGTACCCGCTCCCACTTCCACGGAGTTGTCGTCCCTTTACTGTGGGCCCCCGGCTGTGACAGCCGGGTGCCCACTGCACATGCGCGAGAAGCGCTGCACTTTGTGAATGGCCCGGCGTCTTCTGGGACCTGTAATGTGTCCCAGAAGACACCGGACCATTTACAAAGCGCAGCGCTTCTCGCGCTTTCGCAGTGGGCACCCGGCTGTCACAGATGCCGGCGCGGGAAGACTGCGCAGCGCTGGACCGAGGAACAGGTAAGGTCCTACATCAGAGAACAGCTGAGCGTTTGGCCCGGTATTCTGACATAGTGGCGGCGAAAATACCGGACCGGCTTTATATTCTCTCCATAAGATGCACTGCCATTTCCCCCCTTTTTTGGGGGAAAAAAGTGCGTCTTATGGAGCGAAAAATACGATAACTTGCATTCTGATAAGAATGGCTTGTTGTGTAGCAAGCCTGAATCCCATGATCATGGTTATGATTAACAGTGTCATTCTATTACAGGAGGAAGATCAGAACAATTTGGGCATAGAAGACCTTACTCCAGAGGAGCGCAGGGTTCTGGAAAGAAAGCTCAAAAAGCAGCGCAAAAAAGAGGAAAAGAAGCTTAAGAAGGAGAGAGAAGGTCTGGCTGAGGAGAAAAAAGAAGAGCCATCAAAGCCTTCTGCTGCAGACCTTGCATTGCAGTACTTGAAAAGGTGAGTTGTCCAAAAGCTATGGATATCTGTATTGACAGAGACAACAACCTCTATAGAGTAATCTCAAAACATCTAAATCCTGTAGACAGCCTTTTGCCTTTACACCCTTGTCTATTTGGAAAGTTGGTTATCCAAAAGTTAAGGATATCTGTATTGATAGAGACAATAGTCGCTATAGAGTCATATCAAGACACCATAATCCTATAGTCAGCCTTTATTCTTTATGTGTAGTAAAATTGACAGCTGACCAAATTAATTTAAAAATAGCATAAAGGAAAGGTACACGTTTGTACAGCTATATATAGAGAAATACAGAATGTACCCAGCACACTCTCCAGCTGGTAAACACAAAAAACCTAATTACTTTTTTCCACATCTTTGGTTAAAAACATGGTATTTTAATTCCTATAGTTAATTGCTTGAACTTTTGGACTATAGGTTATACACAGCTACCTTCATGTGATTGGACAATGGCAAAAAAACATGCTAGGGCTGCCCCCAGAGCACATCATATAAACACATCCATTTCGTGAGACTCCAGTTTTTTTCTCTTTTCTCTGAAACTTCTATTAAGATCTAACTGCTCTCTGCCCTGGGCTAACTAGCAGTATTCTATATCAGTAATCCTCAGCGTGTACCTTGGGGTTTAGGCCCAGACCTCACTGTGTGAGACCAGCTTGTAACGTTTGCTTCAAGCACTGGATGCTGCATTAGAGGCTGTCCTTGGAACGTAATGCTACATGTGTAATTGGCTACAGGGTGTGCTATACAGTTCCAGGGACATGGTCCATTTTTATGGTACCCAGACCCTGGCAACCCATTAGGGTAAATGCTCACAGTGATGGGTGAAGCCTGAATGTCTAATAGGTCCAGCATCGTGTATAAGATCAGACAGGGATTCCCTGTGTATTTTATATTGTATTTAATATGTATTTAATTTTATAAGCAGCCTATCTGACAAAAACATATTTCTCTGCCTGTCTGAATTCTTTAGAAAACTCTCTGCAGTTATAGAATCTTTAGTTTCCAGGGGTCAAAAATACTACATATCATCTATTTCCCTTGACCCTGTTCACGATTCAGAAACAGAACCCACTTTTCTTCAGGATATTATGGAGGAAAATATTGAGAACTCTAATTTTTAAGCAGAGCCTGCTGAAGATTTTCTTACCCCTGCATTTCTTGAGGTACAAGCTGCTGCTTCATGCCAAATGCTCTCTACTGTCAACACACTAATTGTTGTGGAGAGCATTGGTCCTTGCCTGGCAGCACCTGCCTCTGTGCAGTCTAAATAAGTCCCTATGGGCACTAAGAGACTGGGTAAGTTAAAAAAAAAAAACTTTTCCTATACACACACTTTATAAAGACTGGTTCAGCCCTGAGAGGGTATACATTCCTAAGCTATTTATACATAAAAGTGCAGCTCTTAATAAGTTACAAATAATCATAAGAAAACAGTGAAAAATGTGTAAAAAAAAATAGTCCATCCAAAAAGAAAAGAAAAGTCCCAGAGGCTGTGATGAAACAAAAGAAAGCCAAGGACAGTTGTGTCACCAACCACTACTACAGAAGGCTTACCAGAAAGGCATGACCCCCTGTTAAGAGTGGTCAATCGCGCTTTGCTAAACAATCCAGAAAGCCGGTCACTCGAATCCTCCTCCAGATCACCAAAACAGCAGATAAGGATCTTCCAAACAATGGACCTTAATTAGGGTAGCTAAACCATTCAGGATAAGGCTTGAACTCGTAGTGGAAAACATGCAAAGAACGTTCCACATGGTGTAAAACCATAATCACAACATTTATTTAAAATATGGTTACACTCACATGTAAGCAAACATCATTTGGCATTGATTGGCAAAAAAATCCAAATTTTCCAATTTTCAAAATGGCTGCCGGCCATTCGCGCATGCGCAGTAGCATGTGTTCGTGGCTCCACCCTACACGTTTTGTCACAGGTTACATCATCAGGGGCTTGCCCACACACTTAACCACACTCCTTATATAGGACCTGAAGCCCCAGAGGATCACTCTTGATTGGCCACTCATGGTGAGTAAAGCATGAAGTACACCTGCTAGGTAATCAGGCTCTAATCCACTGGGAACATTGCCATCTAGTGCCAGAAGATAAAATTGCATTTAAAATTTCGATTAGTCCACCAAAGGTGTGCAAAAAATGGAACATAGCTGCACCCTATGGTGACAATCAAGAATCATTGAAACTTACCAATTATTAAACCATCCTGCTGGAGCTGACTATTAGAGCACCATCTAATGTTCTTATACAGAACCAGAAAAATTACAGTATTAAAATATGACAAAATAAAATTATGAAAAGTTAAAAATTAAAAAATAAAGTAAAAAAAAAAAAAATTAAATAAAAAATAAATTGGGAAAAATCAAAAGATCAATAATAAAAATGACCCCTCCAATCTTGAATATCCAAGGGCATACAGTGAAGGAAATAAGTATTTGATCCCCTGCTTATTTTGAATGTTTGCCCACTCACAAAGAAATGATCAGTCTAAAAATTGAATGGTAGGTGTATTGTAACACTGAGAGACAGAATAGCAACACAAAATTCAAAAGAAATGCATGTCTAACAAATTATGCACTGATTTGCATGTTCATGAGGGGAAATAAGTATTTGGTCCCCTATCATTCATTAGGATTTCTGGCTACCAGATGTCTTTCATACAGGTAACAAGCTGAGATTAGAAGCAGTCTCTTAAATGGAGTGCTGCTTATCTCATTTTGTTACCTGTATAAAAGACACCTGTCCACAGGAGCAATCAAACAATCAGATTCCAAACTCTCCACCATGTCAAAGACCAAAGAGCTGTCCAAGTATGTCAGAGACAATATTGTAGACCTACACAAGGCTGGACTGGGCTACCAAACTATCGCCAAGCAGCTTGGTAAGAACGTGACAACCATTGGTGCAATCATTGTCAAATGGAAGAAAAACAAAACAACTGTCAGTCTCCCTAGGTCTGGTGCGTCATGCAGGATTCTCACCTCGTAGAGTGTCAATGATCATGAGAACAGTGAGGAATCATCCCAGAACTACACTTGAGGATTTTGTCAATGATCTCCAGGCAGCTGGGACCACAGTCGCCAAGAAAACAATTGGTAACACACTATGCCGACAAGGATTGAAATCCTGCAGTGCCCGCAAGGTCCCTCTGCTCAAGAAAGCACATGTCCAGGCCCATCTGCAGTTTGCCACTGAACATCTGAATGATGCAGAGGAGGACTGGTTGAAAGTGTTGTGGTCAGATGAGACCAAAATAGAGCTCTTTGGCATCAACTCAACTCGCTGTGTTTGGAGGAGGAGGAATGCTTCCTATGACCACAAGAACACCATCCCAACTGTCAAACATGGTGGTGGAAACATTCTGCTTTGGGGTGTTTTTCTGCTAAGGGAACAGGACAACTTCACCGCATCAAAGGAACGATGAATGGGGAAATGTACCATAAAATCTTGGGTGAGAACCTTCTTCCCCTAGCCAGTACATTGAAAATGGGACACGGATGGGTGTTCCAGCATGACAATGACCCAAAACACACGGCCATGGCAATAAAGGAGTGGCTTAAGAAGTAGCACATTAAGGTCCTGGAGTGGCCTAGCCAGTCCCCAGACCTTAATCCGATTGAAAATCTGTGGAGGGAGCTGAAAGTTTGAGTTGCCAAACGTCAGCCACCAAACCTTAATGACTTGGAGAGGATCTGCCAAGAGGAGTGGGCCAAAATTCCTCCTGAGATGTGTGCAAACCTGGTGGCCAACTACAGGAAACGTCTGACCTCTGTGATTGCCAACAAGGAGTTTGCCACCAAGTACTAAGTCATGTTTTGTGAAGGGGATCAAATACTTATTTCCCTCATAAACATGCAAATCAGTGCATAATTTGTTTGACATACATTTCTTTTGAATTTTTTGTTTCTATTCTGCCTCTCAGTGTTACAATACACCTACCATTCGATTTTAGACTGATCATTTCTTTGTGAGTGGGCAAACATTCAAAATCAGCAGGAGATCAAACACTTATTTCCTTCACTTTGTATATTTCAGAAGCTAATCCTCTGTGACTAAAGGATCAAACAATCCTATACACGAAAAATTGTAGATAAATTAATAATTAATTATTGATAAAGCAGTTTATATCCCACTCGATGTTAAGACCACACAGCGAATAACTCTTGAGCCAATAAATCCAACTGGTCTCGGCTTTAGAGATAGTTCTTTTTGCATTACTCCCTCGCCAATCTGGAATGTATTTCTCTAGAGCAATAATGGTGATACCTTTGAGGTTACTATTATGTTTCAGGGCATAATGCTTGGATACACTGTGTTCCTTGAAACCCTTCTTTATATTGGCAATGTGTTCACTTAAACAAACATGGAGGGTGTGTGTCGTATGCCCTGCATATTCTAAACCACATGGGCATTTCAACAT